CGTCGGTAACGGTAAATGAAATACCACTCAACATTCATAATACCCACTCCCAAAAAATACAGTGGACCCAATACCTACATTAGCTAAATCTTTTCTGGAGCTCTGCTGTACCATGAAATTCAGCATCCTGGTTTTCAAGTCATGTGACCAATATGGTTAGCAGGTAAATTGTTTCCATCATGCCACTGTGGTTCAACAGTACCATAAAGTAAAGCTTCATATATTATATTATTTCAATGACATCACGGAAAACCTTATTTCAAATAAATGTTTGGAAGGATATCATTGGATTTAGTGCTTTCAGTATTTATCACTCCTTTGCATCCACTCTGGTTTGTTTTGCTTACATAATGCATATATCGTAATTACATCTTCACTTAGAAATTATCCACATTTTTCCAGGAGGATCACTGCAGTGCCTGCTCAGCTCCTAAAAGAACCCGTTGTGTTTATGGCGAAAGGACAAGAACAGTTCATTGCATGTTTCCCAAACTTTGTTGAAATGGACTGAGATCTCATGCCCTGTGATATGCCTGTCCTGAAAACCTATGTAAAGTATTATAGTTTAAAACCAGATACCAACCTCAGAGAACGCTGCGGTCAGCTTCTCTTCAACAACTAAATGTCCCCAAAACAAGAACAACACTCTGCGGTGAAAGGAGTTTTGCCAAAGCAGCACTTTGGAATGAACTCCCACCAAATATCCAGCAAATCAATGATTTTGAGACATTTCAAAGTGAGCTGAAGACTGTCTTGTTCAAACAAGCCTGTGACCTGCATGCCTTTGAGCAAATTTTGGATTAAGGAGCAAAAATACAAATATGAACTTTATTGTTATAAAGGGGACATTGACTATACACTGGTAGCTAAGATCTTGTAAATCTTTTATCTGCACACACGCTATTAACTTATAGTGCTATTGTGTGTTTCCAAACAGGCCTTTTATTTATGTAAATACATTATATGGTTTCCCTTCTGTAAAATTTGTGTTTGATGTTCGACTCACCATAGTTTGAATCGTGTGTTCTGTTCTGAAAAAAGTGTCTTTTTAAAGTGACAATAATTTATGAATATCAGCTTTGGAAGGTATATTTAGGGTCATGTGCATATTTATCATGTGTTTATGCACAGATGCTACAAACAATAAAAATGTATTTGGTTATTTACTAAGGCTGTAATGATTCACTCACACATTTTCGGTGAATCAAACTGAAGCCCTTCATGAATTCAATTCGTTATTCGTGGTCACCAGAACCGAATATTAATGAATATTTATGATTTTTGTAAGGGAGTATGTTTTACTTGAACCCTTGTGTACTTTTGGAAAGTGAGATATGCAAGGATTGAATATGTACTGGCAATGCAGTAGCGCAAGTCATGTTAGTTTGCCAAGGCCGCACATGGTACTGTCGACTATAACTATTCCATACCAAATTTGAGTGTCATGAGATCACTGGTTATTGCCGTGACAAATCAAAACTGTCAACATGGGCGTTCCATTTTGTAAATAAATCACTTAACTACAATATTGTATTCATGAATAATTATTTGTATTCGTTACCCAAGATTCATGATACGTATCATATTCACCACATAGTGTATTTGTTGCAGCCCTATTATTTACTATAGTTATTATCATTTATCCAATAAATAGTTTAATGTCCTTGTACAAACTAGTTTTGTTTTGTTTTGGTATGTTTTGTAAATCGTTTTGTAAATTTTCTTTTAGTTTTAACAGCTGGATTAAGCACATATATAGATATAGATATAATCTTCTTTCATCTTGATTCTCCCATTTGCGCAGATCGATGCTCATTCTGTTGATCACTGGATTGTCTGGTAGAGACTCAATTATTTACAGACCGCCACCATATAGCTGGAATATTGCTGAGTGCGGCGTAAAACTACACTCATTCGTTCACTCACTCACTCACTCATTTTGATTCATATTGCAGTGGTTGGTATTATCTTAGAAAATAATCTTTGACTTTAAACTTTATATTAACTTTAGGCTTTGTTCTTATGGCAAGTCAAAAAGAGAACATTTTAAATAATTCTGTCCTCACAAAAATGTCACCAGAAGGTGTGACCCCGTCCTTCATACAAAACAGGTGTTCACTTGTAATCGTGTATTCATGTCCACTCCAAAAAGCTTGAAAATGTTCTGAAATATCTTCTTGACTTTGCAATCAGTGTTTGCATCTGTTAAAATTTTTAAGTTATAGTGAAATATATTCTAAGTCAGTATTGCCGCACAATTGCCGCACTGCGGTAATTTGGACTTAGAAAAAATGAGAAGAGTTTCCAGATGAAGTCAAATTCAGAGTTGAAAGCCGCATCCAAAAAAAACTAAGTTAAAAAAGCCGCATATTTTCCGCAAAGAGAGATGCGGCTTGATGCGGAACGAGTGCGGCTTTTCATAAAACCGCATTTTTTCCACACTATTTCCACATCTACCGCAGTTTTTCCGCAACTTTGCCGCAAGTTGCTACAGTGATGCGGCATTCTCATGTATGGGTTGAAGCCAGTACACTGTATTCTCTGCCCTGTAATGAAGAAGCCTAGTCACTGTTCTCAACCCATCATCACACTTCATCAAGCAATGAAGACCATAGATTGAAAAGTTAATCTGGCAAGACAAGCCTCTAGAGTTTTCATCATTGATCACATGCTCCTCAGACCTGTTGACATGTTTTACAACCTTTAACCTCCCTTCCCCTCCTCTACCTCCCTAATCCAACCTCTTCAATCCTCTGACCCACAGAGCAGACACCCAAAGAGAGACTTTCCATCATCAAAATGAGTGACAAATGCCGATTTGTGTTTTTGTGTTCAAACAATGAGATCAAACCAGCTGAGCTGGGCCAAACTAACTAGCAGGCGTGTGTCCGAATCACTCTCTGTCACACGCTAAATAGAGCCCGTCCCATGCGACGGCGGGCTGCGAAGGGCTGTGAGGGGAATGAATCAGGCAGCAGTTTCTGTGCCCTGCCAGCTGAGGGGTTCCCAGGCTCCACACCAGGGGCCACCCTCACGCACACACCCAAACTATGGCCTACTGACGTTAAACATCTCTTATGATGGCTCCACAAAACAGGTGATTGCTTGCAAGGAAAATTAGGGAAAAGTAACTTTTGCCAGGCCAATAAATCTGTGGTGTATTGTTAAGAGTGTGTAGACAAAGCTGAGACTGGGACAACAGCTAAAGCTGGGACAACAATAAAACACAGTAGAGTAATAGTGCAATGTATCATGCACAGTAATAACTCACCGTGTTTAAAACCTCCTGTCAATAATAAGCTTGTCAGGTGAGATATGAATGTTGATGTAACTTATAGTGCTAAAAACATGACAATAAGAATGAGCTTGCTACCTCTGACTAACATTTGAACACATCCAGTGAGAGGATTAGAGGCCACAGTTGAGGTATTAGGTTGGTGTTGGTTTGGGGTGTATGTGGGTGTGGTGATGAGGTAGGGGGAGGTGGGAGTAGTAGCTACTTGAAAATAGACTAATAAACACCAGTTTGAATTTCTGATTAAGGTAAGACAATGCAAAGCAATGGTAATTAAAAACAGTTTTGGAAAAGATCCTTTTTCAATTTTCAAAATTCCTTCAAACTTTATGTTACACTTCTGTGTTGTCAGTTCACATTAAAATTGTGTTTGGAAAAGCAGCATTTGACTCACATTGGAAAGAGAACTCCAGACAACAGATGCAGTAAGTAAGTAAGTAAATCAGTATAAGTACAAAAAGCCTGAGGAAAATTAGAAATAGGGAGGTTAGAATTAGGTATCACATCATTTGTACATAATGTAGTAAATACACACAAAAAATATTACAGAATATTTTTCATTTTAAATTAATGACTATCTGTTTTAAACAATGTATTGAGACAGGTAACATTTACACTCAATGATAAGAAGAAGGCTTTTTCGTTTTGTTTTTGTTTTGATTGCAAATATAAATAAAAGTATTATGTATCCAGCATTAATAAACTATAATTTCTCCTACCAGTATCAATCTTATCTGCAGTAAAAGAGAGAGCTGCTGGGTGTGAATGACAAGCCTGAGAACTCCACCTCTTGTATATAATTAAGTGGTGAGAATCTGAGACGGGTCATTTGCCTTAGGTCCATTATGAACTGTGAACTGGCCACACGTGGACTGCCCATTCAGTTCACAAAACTCCACTCACCTTTCACCCCTAAACCATTAATCTTAAACCACATTGTCATAAGAAAAACCTGAAATATGCTGTGATGCTAAGTAGTTGTCATTGTCCACTGCAAAGTGTTGGAAACTGTTTCAGTGATGAGATCTGTTCATTATAAATCAGGGAGGCAATGGTGCTGTGAAGAAGTGGTCACTTCATTACACTCTTCAACTAACAGTTCCAGCTTGACTTAGCTACAGATACTGAACCATTTCTGTTTGTTGAGAAGTGTCTAAACTGCAGGCAACATAGGTCCAAATGTATGGTTAACTCTAAGTAACAGCCGAACTCATTTAGCAAGCAGAAGTGTTTTCATTCCTGTTCCATGACACAGCCTTTGGTATCATGTGATGACAACAAGCATCACGTACTCCACAATACACACACAGTACACAATTATTCCAAGAGACATGACATGCTTAGTCCACCATGATAATGTCACAGTGTTAACATTACTCATGTTATTAAGTGGATAAAAGAAGGGATGGTTACCTAATTACAAACTGGGAGTCAAATTTGGATTGAAAGTCAGACAACATAACAGTGAGCACTGACAGACTGATTATCCATGAATGGATCAGCTTCAGTGGTTCAGTTATTTATGCAGAGACGTAAGAATCACGAACAAATGGCAGGATGGAGGGACCTCGGATGCCACAGCATTGCAAAAGCTCAGCTGACCCTTTTGTCAAATATATGCAAACAATTATGAATCAATGCATGCAGTCCTGACATCAAACAGGAAAGATTTTATGAATGTTTCATTTAATGATGAGAGCGTTACCTCCGTGGTTGTGGCCGGGGCAGCTGTCTGGTCAGTCCCACCGGTTTCATCTGAAGCAGCATTCAGGGCCTCTGTGGCCTGCTGGGAGTGGATGGCTGTGTCCAGACGACTGTACAGATCCATGCGTTTCAGCACCACCTCTCTCAGCATGCCATCCAGCACCAGCCTGCCCAGCTCACACTTCTCTAGTTGCTCAGACACTCTCTCCATCAGCCATGGCATGAATCCTTGCTCCACATCTGACAAAAATATCAGGACAGACATGTTGCTGATGTGCTCTACACAAGGTTTTCTAAACAGTTTAAGATAGCAGTTAATATCAATAAACAATTATTCAACAGAAACAGGACCAGATTAAGCAATCGCTTGAACTTTCACAAACATATCCATACCGCCTCCGTGGTGTAGTGGTTAGAGTGTCTGCCCGGAGAGCGGAAGGTCGCAGGTTCGATCCCCGACCGTGTCATACCAAAAGACGTTAAAATATGGTACTTGTTGGTCCCTGCCTGGCGCTCGGCATTAATGGGTACAACAAGGACTAGTCGGCTCAGAGTCAGTATAATGTGTCTGAGTGGGGTATTCATGTTTCACTGCGGTAGGGTATCTCAGTGGGCTAGCACTATTAAACCAGCTAAGTCTGGGCTAGTACAAGCAGCCGCACATACACATACACACACATGCACGTCGTCATATGAGCGACATATTCTCAAGCACGACGTTAAACCCAATTTCACCTCACCTCACCTCACAAACATATCCATTTATTTCACAAATAAACAAATAACAGCAATGAAAGTTATTCTATCAAGTCATATATCTTCCAAACTGATTAGTCGAGGAACTGGGAAGGTGAACTCATTTTACCTCTCTCTACAGGATCATAGAAGTATCCATTGTCTGAGAGTGTTCCAAACACTGACGGTACAAGGTCTGCAAGGTAGCTCTGTGCAAACACACGTGCAGCAATCTTCTCTGCAGTCTCCTTCTCCTTCCGTAATACTTCTCTCTGCTGCTTCATGCGCCTTTCCTACAACAAATAGTCACACACTTTACTAGTACACCTCCAGGCAATATCACCCATTTGGGCATGGATACAGTATTTGTCACTGAGCATTAACGAAATTTATTTAGTGCTTGTCATTGTTTGTGAAGAAGCCCATAGTAATCATATGTCATATGAACACATTGTTGCAAATAACTGAAGATTATGTCATCCATTGATCATGACATCACAAACATTTAAGTGATTACATTCCAGCATCATAATGAGTAGGAATTATAAATTTTCAACATTTTCTACAAGACATTAGACCATATGTAAATATGTAATGTAACAAATAACCCAACAGCAAGAAGGAATGATGGATTATCTGTCCCTTGTGAACTGATTTTGTACATTAGGAACCTTTGGCATGTAACATTCTACAGCGGAAGCTGTATAATTCGACAATCTGTGAAATCCGACACACTGTATAATCCGACAATTTTTCCTGGTCCCAGTGAGTGTCGGATTATACAGCTTTCACTGTACACCAATTCCCTCGGGGCCCATAGCTGTTATCTAAGGCATCATCTTAAAACATTCACGTGGCTGACTACACATAAGTGTCTATCAATTCCTTTTGCTGTAACCTCTCTCAGATGCACTCCAGATTTATGTGGTTGACCATCTACATAAAGCCATGACGTTTACATCATCATGTGTCATGGTTCTATCTCTTTGGGCCCATGGGTTTTACAGGCAATAGTTTTGCACTTTTAAGGCATTCACCACTATATGTCAACATCTCCACTGCCATTGTGAAAAATCAAGCAAATAGAAGAGAGTGTTATTGAAACGATTAAGAAAGTTAACTTATATGGACATGCAGGTAGAATTAAGACAGTGAATTACTTTTGCACATCCACTTTGAAATATATTTGAAATATATTTCAAATCTTTTCAAGTCGTCATGTTTATCACTAAATGTTGTGACTCTTGGCTGATGTCAGAGAAAAATGGTGAATGTTGTGAGAGTGTAAAGGTCACTAGAGAAATTTGGGTACCAAGACGTCAGCAGCACCCCATTTCTCTTGATGAAACACTGCAACACCTAAACTGCAAACAACTGCTTTTATCTCCTCATTTCTACTCTGACAAACCTTCTCCTCTCTGTGTCTCCTTTCCTGTTCTTCCAGACGCTGTTGTTCCACCAGCTCTGCATTGCGAAGTTCCTCGAATGCCCGCTGCTGCATGCGTAAGTTGGCAAGTTCCTCCTCTTCCATGACCTCCAGCAGTGCTTGTTCCACCGTCTTCCCCACTAGTACCTCCAGGATAGGCCTTGCCTCCACATCAAAGTCAAACAGCTGCAACACATGTCATATGCATGGTTCAAGTGAATAAGAACCTAAATAAAGAGCTAATCAAACTCTTTTCACAGCTCCTTAGATATGTAGGACTCGGATCCATGGCAGGCCCCAAATCCATGGCGGATTTCCAAATCCATGGTTAGCTGCCGTACCTACCCTAATCTGTGGTGGATTTCCTACTCATCGTCGTTAGAACATTTCAGCTTGGTAGAATAGTGGTTAATGGTATTTCATTTATGTGTTTCTAACTTACTGATACCCCTTGGCTGATCTGTCAGCGCTAAGATCGTCTTTCGATATTGCTAATGGTTTTACGACTATCATAGAACTAATTGAGCTTCGAAAATTTAGGCCATGCTAATCTTGCAAATCTTTACACTTCCCCATTTCGGATGCAGCGTTTTCAGTTTTGTAATCTAACATATTTTTTCCATGTCGTTACAAAATGTTTCTGCATTGGGATCTTTTGATACGGGTTTGTTCTTCTTTGTAGGTGGGTCCGCAATTACAAAACCATCATTTTCTATGGTTTCCATTTCCTTAGCTTTGAAGATTTTCCTGAGATTACTATCGCCACGAACGGCTAGTGTCGAATAACGTCGGGAACGGTTAGGGATTATGACGTCATCGCGTAATGACGTTTTAACATGATGACGTCATGTAACAATCGAACAATCAAACCTGCCACGGATAAGGAAACCCGCCATAGATTAAAGACCCGCCACAGATCTGAATCCTACAGATATCTTCTTGTCTTAACAGATATGAACAGATTGGAATTGGTATGTGCTAACTGAACGTCAAATATGTCATATGAAAAATGTTTCTTGAATGGACCCATGAAAACTCTTATAGAATCTAATAAAGTCAATGAATTAGTTAAGGTTGTAATGATATGACGTGGTCATCATGTCACAACTGCTTAGCATTTGTTTTGTGTGCTCACATCTCCATCCAGAATCTGTGTTGCTATATCGACACCTGTCTTGGCTGGTATGAAGAGAGGAGATGGAGGTCTGTCTAGGAAGGCATCTGTCTGGCACTCCACGTCTGCCTCCTCAACACGATCACTCAACTCTTCCAGATATAACTCTGTTTGGACATCCATGTGTTTCCGACCCTCCACTGCCTCTGGAGATCGTGGGCGAAGTTGATCTTTTCGCTCTTTTCCTGGCTATCAACCGCCGTTTGTTTTCCTGCTGCCTTTGAATCTCAATTGGGTCAGGCTGTGCACTCTGCAAATACAAAAGGAACTAGTTATACAGTGCACCCTGGTTATAATGCCCCTGGTTACAATGACACCCTGGATATAATGCCATTTGCCAATGGTTTTTGGAACAAAAGTCATTTTCCCCTGGTTATAATGCTAATTACATTGGCTGCATGGATATAATGCCATATTTTCTCCTGGTGGCATTATAACCAGGGTATACTGTATATGGCCAGTCTTCCTCTAAACTGTTTTATGAATATATGGGGAATATATATGCCAGTTCTTTCATACCATTGCTGCGTATACATATTCTAATGTAAAACAACTGCTAAGTACCAAAAGAAATGACACACGTCTACATGCTCACGAAAGAGAATGTCTGAATGTTACAAATACTTTCATTACCTCTTTCATGAGATGTCAAAACAGAAAACTGTCACGATGAAAACTATCAGTATATCTAATAGTGCTGCTACTCTTTGACCGACACGGGAAAATCTGGGTTAGAAATGATCTTCAGCAACCCATGTTTGTCGTAAGAGGCGACAAACAGAAAGATCAGGTAGTCAGACTGACAGGCTTGGTTGACACGTATCATTGTATACGTTGACACGTATCGATGCTCATGACATTGATCACCGGATTGTCTGGTCCAGACTTGATTATTTACAGACCGCCTCCATATATGAGCTGGAATATTGCTGAGTGTGGCATGAAACAGCAATCAAATCAAATCAACTTCTTGACCATAAATGTGACACACATAAATGCTGACCATTTTGCAGATATATATCATCATGCATGCAACTTTGGTCAATAGTCCAAAGCCTTAGTCAAATTCCATCTAGCATATCTAGTAAGGCGAGGTGAAGTAGAGTTTAACGTAGCATGCAAGTTTCTTTTGTTTATATTGTGATGCACATGCAGACAAGTGTGTTTGCCACCACCAGCAAAGACTAAGGGCAGCATGGATACCCCACTGTTGGAGTGAGTGACTGAGCCAGCAGTCCTGTTTTTACCCCTTAATGCTGAGAGCCAGTCAGGGTAGCAACAGACGTTATCTTCTTATATCTTTTCAATGACATTTAGGCCAAGGGATCAGCATATCTGCTGAACCCATCCTAATTATGACTACACTTACAAGTTTGGGCTCGTTTTAGGCAACGATTTGTGTTTCAGTGAGACAACATAGAACGGCATGTGAAAACTGACAACAAAGATGCATTGTTGATCTACTTTGACCAATAGAGTATGGCATGATACTACTCACAGCAGGTAGTGTATGCTGGGCGTATGTGTTTCCACGGACAATCCTTCTGTCATACATAATGTTGCCATATTGTGCTGATTGTTCGTTCCTGCAAAGAGACCGTTATTCAGTACAAGAATGATTTATGATGATAATCAAACAATAATTGTAGTGACATTACACACTTTTAGAATCATCATAAATACAGCATGGAATAGCATCAATACCCTTGTAATGTGAAGCTGAGATATTTCAAGTAACTTGCCCAGGGATGGTATTCCAAGCACTGGGGACTGTGCACCAGTCATTATCATGATTATCATATACTTTGTTTGATCTTGTTGTAACTTGAAACTAACCAAAGTCCATGTTCCATGCATACTATTTAAAAAATACATTGCATTCTTAAAGATAATTACCCAAAACAAGACTCATGAATGATTGTAGCACAATGTCTGTGTATGGAGATTCATCCACCTATCGATCAACGTTATGTGCAGAAACAAGGCAAACCAATCAGAATGCATGGAATGAATCCACTGCACATAAATCAATTATGTAATATGTGATCATTTCTAAAATCATCATTTCAATGAATATCATTTACATTCAGCAAATGGTAAAATATTCCATTCAGTTATCTGTATGGCTTCAATGCCTACTCATAAAACTGGAAAATAGTAATGTCTTAGGAGGAGGGATGTATATGTAATTAGCTCTTATGTTCCCTTATCCTCCTTTTTGTGAAGGTGTATTTTGACTAATGTTGCACCATTATCAATGGAGTACTATCCGTAGGAGAAAAATGACATTGGTGTGTTGATAAATCATAACTTACCTACTTTCCGTTCATAGTATAATAAAATAGAGGTTTGAAAGTCAGAATTTGATGGCATTAGAACTAGTGGTGGTCCAATTGATTGAAATAATCGAAAATTGGTCGTAATAACTAAACGACCAAGCAATTGATCACATTTTGTCATAATCAAACACAAACAATTTTGGAACACTTGTTTGCATTGACAATATTTATCATAAGGTTGGTTTTGTTTGTTGCGTTTCATAAGCACTACAAGCTCGTTCCAAGTCATGGTTAAAATTTATCTTGAAGACTCCAGGAAATTTATGTTCCTAACATATTAGTTATCCTTTAAAGACACAAAATTTGCCAAAACAACTGAAAGAACTACATGTTTTTTTCTGTATTTTGTGTGCATTAACAAATATAACCAAGACAATTTGATAAATAACGCTAACCAACTATTTTCGATGATTGAACAGCTGTAATGAACCAATCATTAATTATAAGATTTTAACCAATTCCCAACACTAATTAGAACATAAAAAGACTGGTTTTACCATGTAAATAATGTCTAGGACAGATAAACAATTAGATAGTTTCACTGTATATACCTTATTGGACAACACATGCACATGTAAATCAAAAGAATATTTCCAAATATGCAAACATATTTTTGATATTGAACTGTTCCTTTTATTATGGGGCTATCTCTTTTTATAGCTATACACAAAAGATGCAAAGAAAGATCCGTTTGTATGGAAAAGGTGTAAGGTAATGTAAGATTAAATGAAATCAGTGCTTACTGACCTCTTTACATAAAACACCAATACTGAATATTATTGGAACTATGTACATGCTGCAGTTATGTTTATGTTTGATCTTCTAACACTTGTATACAGGTTAAGAATATGGTGTACTACACTAAATGTGCCAATTTCTTATGTACATAATTGTTTGAACAGGCACAAACTTCCAAAGGTTAAAAACGTGGTCGCCTACATCTACATATGAAATTTATTTCGTGAAAATAAGGTGCAAAAATTGTACATCATTATATTGAAACTGCAAGCATCAGGAGAGGATGATCGTGTGTGCTTGTAGCCAAGCAACCTTCACTTCAAAGCAATTACCAGACACCGATTTTGACAAATATATTTTGCAACATTCATTTTCAGGTTAGTAGGGTTAACTTATACTGAGCCAATATCAATATTGGATAAGTGTGAAGCATTCCTTCAAATAACGTATGAATCTTATTGGAAACAAGCTGTTGTTATGCACTCAAATATATATGTTATTTTCCGAGACGAACAGGCTCAGTATTCGACGCAAATGTACGCAGACAACTTCAAAGTTAGCGTTTAATTTAGGTTCCCTTATAAGAAACTGGCAGACATGGCCATTGCCGTCCAGCCCAGGCAGATAATGTATATTTATTGGTCTACTCACTGTTGACCGAGCAAAGGGTCTCTATATTTCTTCCTCTGTTGTACTGCTCTCGGTTGACTGGCGAAGGTGTAAGTCCCTTCAGCTTTCTGTGGGAGAACTGTAGTCATTTTGGTTGATAATTTCTTCTCCGACTCTTGCTGCAAGGGATACACAACCTTGTAGTCTACAACTTGACTATATCTTGAGCCCACGCAAAATATTGATGTCGTTGTTGCCGAGCAACAGTAGCCTCGCAGTAAATCTATGACAATCAGAAAAACACAATGTCACATCAACTTTGCATATGTGTATATATATATAAACAAGGCATAAACAATTAATGATGTAATTTTAAAATGGTTTATTAATAGATTAAAATTGACTGGAGCTTTGCCTTATTTTCTGCGTAATATTCGTTTGTTCAATCGGAATGTCTCGGCATATTCCGATAAGTAACATAAGCAACGACCCGAAACGGACTATGCAAAATGGCAAATTGCAAAAGTTCAAAACAAACGGTATGCATGCGTGCGTGTGTCTATATCTGAATAATGATGAATAGTGGTAATATCTGAATAATGTCTTTTGTATAAAGATTCACATTATTCACATTAGTTGGTATGAAATCAATATATACTATGATACTTATCAAAATGCGTATCCGAACAAACATTGTTTGGTAACTTTTGGTTAGCTTCTGCAGTTTAGGCCATATTTAATGTTGAGTCAAGTATTATTTTAGAAACAATCAATAACTCACGTAAGCACACTTGATCGAAACAGTAACAGTAAAAGACTTACGGATGATTCCATTTACATTATATTTGATACCCAGTAAACACAGCGTCTAACTGTCAGTGTGTATTCACAGTGTCTAACTCTCAGTGTGTATTCACAGTGTCTAACTTTCAGTGTGTATTCACAGCGTCTAACCCTCATTGTGTATTCCCAGTGTCTAACTCTCAGTGTGTATTCACAGCGTCTAACTCTCAGTGTGAATTAAGTGTGTAGCTCTCAATGAGTATTCACAGCGTCTAACTCTCAGTGTGTATTCACTGCGTCTAACTCTCAGTGTGTATTCACAGTGTCTAACTCTCAGTGTGTATTCACAATGTCTAACTCTCATTGTGTATTCACAGCGTCTAACTCTCAGTGTGTATTCACAGTGTCTAACTCTGCGTATTCACAGCGTCTAACTCTCAGTGTGTATTCACAGCGTCTTACTCTCATTGTGTATTCACAGTGTCTAACTCTCAGTGTGTATTCACAGCGTCTAACTCTCAGTGTGTATTCACAGTGTCTAACTCTCATTGTGTATTCACAGCGTCTAACTCCCATTGCGTATTCATAGCGTCTAACTCTCAGTGTGTATTCACAGTGTCTAACTCTCATTGTGTATTCCCAGTGTCTAACTTTCAGTGTGTATTCCCAGTGTCACAACCCTCATTGTGTATTCACAGTGTCTAACTCTCAGTGTGTATTCCCAGTGTCTAACTCTCAGTGTGTATTCCCAGTGTCTAACTCTCAGTGTGTGTTCACTGCGTCTAACCCTCAATGTGTATTCACAGTGTCTAACTCTCAGTGTGTATTCACAGTGTCTAACTTTCAGTGTGTATTCACAGCGTCTAACCCTCATTGTGTATTCCCAGTGTCTAACTCTCAGTGTGTATTCACAGCGTCTAACTCTCAGTGTGAATTAAGTGTGTAGCTCTCAATGAGTATTCACAGCGTCTAACTCTCAGTGTGTATTCACTGCGTCTAACTCTCAGTGTGTATTCACAGTGTCTAACTCTCAGTGTGTATTCACAGTGTCTAGCTCTCATTGTGTATTCACAGCGTCTAACTCTCAGTGTGTATTCACTGCGTCTAACTCTCAGTGTGTATTCACAGTGTCTAACTCTCAGTGTGTATTCACAGTGTCTAGCTCTCATTGTGTATTCACAGCGTCTAACTCTCAGTGTGTATTCACTGCGTCTAACTCTCAGTGTGTATTCACAGTGTCTAACTCTCAGTGTGTATTCACAATGTCTAACTCTCATTGTGTATTCACAGCGTCTAACTCTCAGTGTGTATTCACAGTGTCTAACTCTGCGTATTCACAGCGTCTAACTCTCAGTGTGTATTCACAGCGTCTTACTCTCATTGTGTATTCACAGTGTCTAACTCTCAGTGTGTATTCACAGCGTCTAACTCTCAGTGTGTATTCACAGTGTCTAACTCTCATTGTGTATTCACAGCGTCTAACTCCCATTGCGTATTCATAGCGTCTAACTCTCAGTGTGTATTCACAGTGTCTAACTCTCATTGTGTATTCCCAGTGTCTAACTTTCAGTGTGTATTCCCAGTGTCTAACCCTCATTGTGTATTCACAGTGTCTAACTCTCAGTGTGTATTCCCAGTGTCTAACTCTCAGTGTGTATTCCCAGTGTCTAACTCTCAGTGTGTGTTCACTGCGTCTAACCCTCAATGTGTATTCACAGTGTCTAACTCTCAGTGTGTATTCACAGTGTCTAACTTTCAGTGTGTATTCACAGCGTCTAACCCTCATTGTGTATTCCCAGTGTCTAACTCTCAGTGTGTATTCACAGCGTCTAACTCTCAGTGTGAATTAAGTGTGTAGCTCTCAATGAGTATTCACAGCGTCTAACTCTCAGTGTGTATTCACTGCGTCTAACTCTCAGTGTGTATTCACAGTGTCTAACTCTCAGTGTGTATTCACAGTGTCTAGCTCTCATTGTGTATTCACAGCGTCTAACTCTCAGTGTGTATTCACAGTGTCTAACTCTCATTGCGTATTCACAGCGTCTAACTCTCAGTGTGTATTCACAGCGTCTAACTCTAAGTGTGTATTCACTGCGTCTAACTCTCAGTGTGTATTCACAGTGTCTAACTCTCATTGTGTATTCACAGCGTCTAACTCCCATTGCGTATTCACAGCGTCTAACTCTCAGTGTGTATTCACAGTGTCTAACTATCATTGTGTATTCCCAGTGTCTAACTTTCAGTGTGTATTCCCAGTGTCTAACCCTCATTGTGTATTCACAGTGTCTAACTCTCAGTGTGTATTCACAGCGTCTAACTCCCATTGCGTATTCACAGCGTCTAACTCTCAGTGTGAATTCACTGCGTCTAACTCTCAGTGTGTATTCACAGCGTCTAACTCTCAGTGTGTATTCACTGCGTCTAACTCTCAGTGTGTATTCACATCGTCTAACTCTCAGTGTGTATTCACAGTGTCTAACTCTCAGTGTGTATTGACAGTGTCTAACTCTCATTGTGTATTCACAGCGTCTAACTCTCAGTGTGTAATCGACAGTGTCTAACTCTCAGTGTGTATTCACTGCGTCTAACTCTCAGTGTGTATTCACAGCGTCTAACTCTCAGTGTGTATTCACAGTGTCTAACTCTCAGTGTGTATTCACAGTGTCTAACTCTCATTGTGTATTCACAGCGTCTAACTCTCAGTGTGTATTCACAGCGTCTAACTCTCAGTGTGTATTCACAGTGTCTCACTGCAGAATGTATTCACAGCGTCCCACTGTCAGTATGCATTCTCAGTGTCTCACTGTCAGAATGTATTCACAGCGTCCCACTGTCAGTATGCATTCACAGTGTCTCACTGTCAGAATGTATTCACAGTGTCTCACTGCCAGAATGTATTCACAGTGTCTCACTGTCAGTGTGTATTCACGTCCACAGTGTCTCACTGTCAGTGTGTATTCACAGCGTCTCACTGTCTGAATGTATTCACAGTGTCTCACTGTCAGTGTGCATTCACGGTGTCCACAGTGCCTCACTGTCTGAATGTATTCACAGTGTCTCACTGTCAGTGTGCATTCACGGTGTCTCACTGTCAGTTGGTGTCCACAGTGTCTTGCGGTCTGTAGGTGTCCACAGTGTCTCTCTGTCAGTGAGTGTCCACAGTGTCTTGCTGTGTGTAGGTGTCCACAGTATCTCGCTGTCTTTAGGTGTCCACAGTGCTTCGCTGTCAGTGAGTGGCCACAGTATCTCGCTGTCTGTAGGTGTCCACAGTGCTTCGCTGTCAGAGAGTGGCCACAGTGTCTCGCTGTGTGTAGGTGTCCACAGTATCTCGCTGTCTGTAGGTGGCCACAGTGTCTCTCTGTCAGTGGGTGTCCACAGTGTCTGTCTATAGGTGTCCACAGTGTCTCACTGTCAGTGGGTGTCCAGTGTCTCGCTGTGTATGTGTCCACAGTGTCTCACTGTCTATATGTGTCCGCAGTGTCTCGTTGTCAGTGGGTGTCCGCAGTGTCTCACTGTCTGTAGGTGTCCACAGTGTCTGTCTGTAGGTGTCAACAGTGTCTCGCTGTCTGTAGGTGTCCAGTGTCTCGCTGTGTATGTGTCCACAGTGTCTCGCTGTCTGTAGGTGTCCACAGTGTCTGTCTGTAGGTGTCAACAGTGTCTCGCTGTCTGTAGGTGTCCAGTGTCTCGCTGTGTATGTGTCCACAGTGTCTCGCTGTCTGTAGGTGTCCACAGTGTCTCTGTCAGTGGGTGTCCACAGTATCTTGCTGTCTGTAGGTGTCCACAGTGTTTCGCTGTCAGTGGGTGTCCACAGTATCTCGCTGTCTGTAGGTGTCCACAGTGTCTCGCTGTGTGTAGGTGTCCACAGTGTCTCTCTGTTAGTGGGTGTCCACAGTTTCTCGTTGTCTGTAGGTGTCCACAGTGTTTCGCTGTCAGTGGGTGGCCAGTGTCTCGCTGTGTATGTGTCCACAGTGTCTCACTGTCTGTAGGTGTCCACAGTGTCTCGCTGTCTGTAGGTGTCCACAGTGTCTCACTGTCTATATGTTTCCGCAGTGTCTTGTTGTCAGTGGGTGTCCACAGTGTCTCGCTGTCTGTAGGTGTCCACAGTGTCTGTCTGTAGGTGTCCACAGTGTCTCGCTGTCTGTAGGTGTCCACAGTGTCTCACTGTCAGTGGGTGTCCAGTGTCTCGCTGTCTGTAGGTGTCCACAGTGTCTCGTTGTGTGTAGGTGTCCACAGTGTCTCGATGCCAGTTGGTGTCCAGTGTCTCGCTGTCTGTAGGTGTCCACAGTGTCTCACTGTCAGTGGGTGTCCAGTGTCTCGCTGTCTGTAGGTGTCCACAGTGTCTCGTGTGTAGGTGTCCACAGTGTCTCGATGCCAGTTGGTGTCCAGTGTCTCGCTGTCTGCAGGTGTCCACAGTGTCTCACTGTCAGTGGGTGTCCAGTGTCTCGATGTCTGTAGGTGTCCACAGTGTCTCACTGTCAGTGGG